ATTTAATTAACTCCAACATGGTGCTAAACGCATTAAAGAGGCATTTAGGGACTGGGTATCTCTTCTGAGAGAAACGGTAAAAGAGCACAGGATGTGACCCAGAAGGAGGAAGAATGTTTGACTGTGAGAACGTTTCTGATAAGGAGATGGACTCGGAGCTGTCACCGACATTGTTCCAGATAATATAAAGCCTGTTTTCTGCAGACATGAATACAGATGTGGGTTATAAACTTCTGAATTCAGTCCGATCATCCAGGTATGTGAGCGGACACATTTTTTTTTAACCCTACAAAAACGCTTACACATCTATTTTATGCTGAACCAACATCACTTCTGCCTGGTAAAATAAAATACTAAAAAAAATACGTGTAATTATCATTTCTGAAGGCAAAACTATAAAAAGACTGGACAAAATGAAGGTTAGGCTTCCAGCAGCCTGACTCTATCTTGAGACTGAAGAAGGCTCATGAGAGCAGCACATAAAAGGCTGAAGTGATGACACAGGATTTAAGACAGAGAAGCGGTCTGCCTGCTCTGCCTGTCCTCCGCCACTTTGAACTCGACTCACGAGGGTAAATAATAAGCCGTTTACAATACAAGCGAAGCACAGCATTGCTGAGTCACAGAGGACTGCAGGGCAGCTTCTCACATTTAGCATTTTTTAAAGGATTTAAATGGATTCAGCTCCAGAGGGCGACGTGGTGCTCAGCGTTAAGAGATAAGGATTCAGAGTGAATAATGTGGCGAGGATGTTTAACTCTGACCTTGCTTATGGATTTAAAGCCGATTAGTTTTTATGTCTTTGATCTTTTTTGTTTGGAAAAATGTGCTGGCTGCAGTAAACTGTGACGCAGCATCTTTTGTAAAGTCACATCAGAAAAGTCAGAGTAAAAGATAGTGCTGAGCCGAGTAAGTCTGGGTCACACGGAGACCTGTTTCTGGAAAGAGTGAGCTTAAATTCAACAACAGCAAAACCTCGAGGGATGAGGAGATGTGCAACGTGCACGAGCTTTTTACTGCTCCAATGCAACAGGGTTAGAAAGGCAACAACAGCCTGGTTTTAGATAAAACCACAGCAGAGAAATAGCTGTGCATGAGCTAATGAATAACACTAGGACATCTTACTCTTCCTATTTTAAAAGACCGCGTGTAGCCCACGATGTTTCTACCAGCATGAGGACGTTCAACTTCGCATTTTCCTGATAGAGCTTCATCTCTGCAAGTTCAACAGTTTGTCTGCATAACAAAGAAATGTTAATATGGTAGTAAAAGTATTCAAACAGGAAGGTTTCTGGCCTTGGATGTTATGTGGCCACGGCAAAGATCTTCATCATTAGAAAGGGAAAAAAAACCCGTTGTTGTACCCATTTCCTCTAGTTTACCTCTGCTGCCCTCTGAATGTTAGATAGAAAGCACTTTAGTAGAAAAGGGCTAGTAAAAAGTGCTTGTGTGGGTGAAAAAGGCAAACTTGTATAAAGTGCTTTGAGTACTTGGAGTATAAAAATGCTATCTAAGAACCAGTCTGTGTACCATCCCTGGTTATGTCATCTGCAAGTTTAAACACGTGACTCTTGCATCGTTACGTCGCTTACTGCCAGTTTTATGTCTTGTCCAGTCCAGAAAAAAACAAAAATCTACATACAGGCCCAGAGCACTGGAACTCCAAATAACTGCCCTCAGAATAATCCACAGTCTCTGATCATATTTCAGTATAGCTAG